TTCTCACACTCAAAAACTGTGGTGAGTAGAAATTCGCCTCCTGATGTGACAAAATCTGATTTGCTTTGATTCTCCTTTTTAATGGTACCCATTATCCTCTTCCTTCTTGTGAAGTGGTGTTGCCGCACATCGGCAGTGCCACCTACGCCACAAGAGGTGTCATGGCAGTGCTGACGGTGCAGAACCTGCTGGGTGGATTACGGGGCACAGAGATGCCCAAAGAACTCGTCCTCTAGAGTCTGAAGCGGAGATGACGTCCTGCTCTGATCTTTCTTAAGAATAAAAAGATATCTTTCATTGGAAATGTAACATTTAGTGGCTTACTTAAATATGCCTCATGCTTATAATAGATCAATAAAAATCACTGAGTACATTTTTTTATTTTCTCATTACTCTTAATTTTAGTGACATCAACCATGTTATTCTTTGAGAATAGTTTCAGAGCATTCACATTGGTTTAGCTTGGTTGATAACATAATAAAACATCAAAAAACCTACATTACCAAATTGATTTTTGATTTCATGTAACACAAAAACAATAATTTAGAAAGTGTTTGAGTGTGAATCTTTTTTCTTCCTCTAGAAAAAGAGGTCAGAGCAGCGGTTCTGGGAACGACTGATCGTCTTTCCAGTTTACACACGTGTTCTTAGAGTGCTTGTAAAGGTGGGACGACTGGCTGAAGCGCTTGCCGCACTTCGGACAGGGATAGGGCTTTTCTCCCGTGTGGACACGAATGTGCTTCTTACAGTCAGTCAGGTTCATGAAGGTTTTGCAGCAGATGTTGCAGGCGTACTTCTTCTCCCCTTCTACTAACAGCACATGGTCCTCAGCAGCCGCTTTCTTGCACTTGGACAGAACATCCTCTGAAGCTCTGGTTAGAGGCGGCCGATCAGCAGCGGCATCCCCCGCTGACCCAGAAGAGGAGGAGGAAGGATCTGTGCCGGCCTCTGACCCAGGCGGCACTTTGGGAGCAATGCGACGAAAGGTTGTTACACCTGAGCCTGTCCCGACCCTAGAGGGTGAGGGTGGGACGAGGGAGGCTTCCAGACTGAGTCCCGGTCTGATGCCGCTTAGAAACCCAGCTAAAGAGTTCTGAGAGGGCTGCAGGATGAGCGTGTCACTAAAACCAGAGCTCTGAGTCGGAAGGAGCTGCTGCAGGGGGAAAACAAGAGAGGAGGAGGAATCAGAGGACTGAGGAAAAGAGGTGTTTGCCTCTTCTGAGTTTTGACATGGTTCACCTACATTTCCAGCTGCCGCAGGAGCATCGCTGGCGGCGGCGGCTGCAGTGGCAGCAGCTGTGAGACTAGCAAGGCTGTCTTCTTCTTCCAGGGCTCCCATTACACTGTCAGCACTGGGATTGAGGAAGCAGGAGAAGGCCAGCTCTGACAGGCTGTCCAGGCCTTCACCGTCATCACACAAATCCCCGTGGTCCCTGTGTGCGTCAGTCTGAAGATCTGTGCACAGCTGAGATTGTAAAGAGCCAACACCCCCTCCTGCTGGGTCGGCTGCTGTGGCCATGTTGTCATCATTTACTTGTGCGTTGAAATTGTCTGTGCGGTCTAGTGGTGGAGATGGAGGAGAATCTAAATCTGGGGAGGTTGTGCTTAGATTTTCCTTTTTCACCTCCATCATCACCATCTTTGTCTCCTCTCCCTCTTCCTCCCCTTCTTCTCCCACCTTTACTTTCACCACCGTGTCTCCATCTGTATCTCCATCCTTCTTCCACCCTTCCGCGCCCCCTGTGCTGCTGTCCGACTGGCTCGGAAGCTGGATCTCCTCTGACTCTCCCTTGGTTGCTTCATATTTCTCCTCCACCTCCTCATCCCCTTGGTTCTCCAAAAGTCCATCAGCTGTCCTCAGGCGGTCTGGGGACAGCAGATCATCCCTTCCTTCCTCTGCACTGACGGTGCTTAGGCTTGTCACAGTGGGAGAACACTCCTTGTAGTTTCCCTCTGGCATTCTGCAGCTTCTCTTCCTGCAGCTGAGCCTGTCCTCGTGTGACTTCCTTTTAAACCTCGAGGACGGTGCGCCTGCGCTTGTCTCGCCATTGACTCCCCTGACCTCCCCCATTGACTGGCTCACCTCCACTACCGCTCCCTCTTCATCTGAGTCCTCCTCCATAGCAGACGAGACCAGCTGAAGGGAGGACGACCTCTCGGCCTGTGAGGGGGGACACTGCTGCTGCTGTTGCACTGACCTCCATCCTTTAGGTGGCGAGGCAGGGAAGTTTTTCCTGGACAGGTGGAGCTTGCACGCCTTCACCACAGTGTTCAGATGGAGGTGCGAGGCGGCCAGCAGCACGTCCATGACATTAGAGGCTCCCAGGGAGAGGGTGGAGGTATAAATCATGTCCAGCAGGGTGGAGAAGGCCTCAGGGGTCACCACCTCTGGATCCAGCTCCATCACACTGGGGCCTCTCCCTTCGCCTCTGTCGACCCCGGCTCCGCCAACCTCATCGGCAGCGTCGCTGGAGCTCAGGAGGGCTCTGAAGTGAGAGCTGCATGCTGCCAGGATGGAGCGGTGAGCCTGGAAGCTCTGGCCTCCCACCAGCACCACACAGTCACACAGCTGAGCGTGCAGGCGCTGGTGGTTGAGCTGCTGGAAGATGTGCTGGAAATGACCTGGGAAGTCCATGGTGTCCGGACACAGTGAAGGTCACTGACAGAAACAGCACGAGGAGACGCTTGTCCTCATCGACGACTCATGTGCTGAACTCGGCATCGGTGCGGACAGCAGCCTCCCTGCAGGCTGACGAGCATCTGTCAGCTGAGTCTGGGCGGGCTCGCTCCAACAATGACGCCGAGAGATGCGACTCAGACTCGGGCTTTGTCCTCCAGCAGCAGCCGCTCTCTGTCCGCGCAGCTGGTCCTCTCTCACTGCTGCAACGTTCAGACTGTAACTGTATCTATCCCCATAGATACCGATGTGAATTATTCATCGCGCTCTCACAGCCATGTTGCATCCTGCGTCCTTTGTCGACGGCACCACCAACAATTCTTGCAATAAAACATCGCCCCCAGGTGGAGATCTCATGAAAGTGCGCATTATAGTCTATTTCTCAGTTCAGTTTATTTTACCTCCACACCTCACTGAGATCTGTCTGCTTAACTCCTTATCCTCTTTAAAATCTCTTCGAGACACATTTTAATAGCTTTGCTTTCTCCTAGTTTTGATCATTCCGTCTATCTTAATCATTTTTAAAATGTTTTTTTTACTCTTTTCTCTATCTGTAACATTTTTTATGTCAGCCTTCAATTTTTTATTTTTGAGAGTATTTGAGAGGAAACTAAAAATCTTTACATCATGAAACAATTTTTTATTTTACATCATTGGAAAATATCGAGGGGGTTATTTGCCCTTGTTGACAATATTATACAAGATGTTAAAATTACCAGACGTATTTTTTAAAGGAAGCTTCAATTTGACATTTCCTTGTGATATTATTGATAGAGAGATTAACAATATTTGTCACCATTGCGTAGGGAAGACAACCGATCGCTCAGTTTGTTTATTCATCCACCCATTTCCTATAGTTATTAAATTATGGTCCAATAAAACCGAACCCCAGTGCACATGTCTCTGGACTGTGGGAGGAAGCCCACTCATACAAAGGGAGAGCATGCAAACTCCAAATAGAGGACCCCCCCAGCCGATCCTGGATTTGAACCTTCTTGCTGTGAGGTAACAGTGCTTCACCCTGCCACCCTAAGTTTGTGTCTGAGAGTAAAACAAAAATGATAATCAGGGCCTGACAGAGTAGTGTGGTGAAATTCCTGTAGTACTGACAGTTTCCATAACGTAGCATAACAGCTACACATATTTAAACCAGCAGATTGAACATTATTTCTCTTTATTGCATGACGCAGCAACCCTGCACATCGTCACACGCTGCATTTAACAATGATCACAATTTATTTAACAAAAAACACACAAACAAAAATAATGGGGCAGACTAATGTTTACAACATGACTAGAAACGAGAACAGATTTGTTTTCTGCTTCACAGTGATGGACTGACGCAGGTCATGTCACAGGGGAGTGATGCTGCCGTGGCCCCAGCTGTCTGCTCATGATGAGGATGGTCTGTGCTCTGTCTCAGGGACCTCAGTGGGTGGAGGAGAGAAGAGGTCAGCAGCTCCATTCATATGCTGTCCAGCTTCTTTAGCACATACGGAGCTGTGTGTGAAGGGAACACAGATTATTAGACTGTTAAAGTCCAAACAAGGAGAAGCAGCTTTCCATCGCTATGCAGCATCGCGCTGAAACCAGCTACCTGATGGTCAGTAAAACTAAACTATTAAACAATGTCACACCATCATTGTATTTTCTTCTTTTTAGTTTATCATTTTACACAGGTCCATCTACTTGACTTAACATCCATTTTGACTTATTATTACATTTTAGAGATATATCCTTTTTAATACCAATATGTCTTTATATCTCTTTACCTCGTGTATTCTGCTGTTTTATTTTGCTTTAATCTTGTTTTCAGAATCAGAATCAGAAATACTTTATTAATGCCTGTAGGGAAATTCAAATGTCACCGAGCTCCTGAGAAAGAGGTGAACGAGCAAAAGCAGGTGTAAACATAGCAATATAAAAATCAACTAAGAGTAAAAAAGGAAATAAAAGATGAACCGCGTATGTATAGATTTACATTTGTACATGAATGTAAGTTAAAGTATACACAGTATACAGTATTAAGCTTTAGAAATTACAGTTGTCATTATACAATTTGACAGCCACAGGCAGGAATGATTTCCTGTGGGACAGTGTGGGTGGATGAGTCTGTCACTGAAAGAGCTGCAGAGACTAATCAAGACATTATGAGAGGGTGTGACGGAAAGTCCAATACTGTCCTTACTTTGGACAAAGTTCTCCTCTCCATCACCACTGTGACACTGTCCAACCCCCTCCCCCCCCCCAACCACATGGCTGGCTTTCTTTTGAAACTGTATGATTCTAAATAGTTTTCTTTTAATGTTCACCCCTGTATATTTAAATGTGCTTTATAAATCAAACTGTCTTGCATCAGTGACACAGAAGTGAAGCATCGCGTGTGTGAAACATTATGTGAATGTAGTGACCTTAATGGTTTTATTTTGTACTGCTGACCAAAACACAGCACGAGACCAACATGTCTGCTTCTTCTAGCACATGTGCTGATTATCAACCACATGAAGAGAATCCAGCTGGAGACCTTTCTGCGAGTGTTACTATCGTCAGTATGGGGCTTCATGTCAATGTCACAGGTCTGAACTCACTGGCTCTGAGGAGGGCGACGTAAATAAGGAAGTTTCTCAAAGACGACATGACGTCCTGACGCATTTTCTTCTTCATCTCTTCCGGGTCCATTTTAGGTCCGAGTCCTTCCAGCTTGAACATGATCGCTTCTGTTTTTCAATCCTCCGAACGTGTTGAGAGGAAATCCACCGTCTCTGGAGCATGGATGCAATAACCGAGAGACCGGAAAGACGCAATAACCGGAAGTAGGTTGAACGACGACGGCGCGCACCGAGGGACAAACCACACGAACAGGTTAGAGAGGCGAAACATAAAATGTCGTAAGTGTTGTCCTATAATATATTTAATATCTTTTCATTGTTTTATTACTGTGTAGGTGTTGCATGGTACATGTTTGTAGTTGTATCCCTTGTGTGAGCAGGTTTATTTATTTTGTGGCTCATTCATTTACTGCCCATTTCTAGCAACGATATTTAGTTGTTATTTTAACACATTTAAAGATGTCTGTGTTATACTTCTGAAGACTAAACTATTTTAATGTTTAGAAAAAATGGCTACTTAAATAACCTAAATAATACAATTCTTTTTAGGCTTTTGGCTGTGGGCAAAAATCAGCACTGAGTCCACATTAACTTTCTGTTTATGGATTTTAACATCGGGCCCCTCAGCAAGAGAGGCCCCAGTGCAGGAGCCACCGTCATTCAAGACTCCTGAAAAAAGTGCAATTTATTAAATTACCAAATTACTATTTTACTATTTACTGGTGATAGTAGTAGTAGGCATAGCAGTAGTAGAAGAAGAATTCTGGCAAATAATAATTTGGTTTATCAATTTGCACCCAACATTGTAAAATATTAATGAAACACAACATGTCAGACTTCAGAATTAAAATGATGAATGTGCATTCATTTAAAACAGTGCCCATAATTGTTAAATATTACAAAAGGAAGCAGGTTATAAACTGGAAAACTGCATCGTAAACCATAACATGTATTATCATTATTACTACTATTAGTAGTAGTATTCATAGAATAAAGCAATTATTTATTATCATTATTATAAGTGGAGGTTGTAGTAGTAATAGAATAATAATAGTAATTTATAATTATTGTTTTTATTATTATTATTATTAGTAGAAGTAGTAGCAATAGAATAATAATAATTCTTTATTTTTATTATTATATTTGAATTTTTATGATTAGTGACTCATTGACCTTGTGGAGGAGGTTCCTCCGGGTAGACAGTGGAGGAGGAGGAGGAGGAGTAGAGACGGACGGAGGGAGGAGGGAGGAGGGGGTTATTTCTGAGCTCAGGGCCGAGGATTAGAGAATAGTCCCAGCGCGATGACAGCATCCAGCACATAGCCAAGCCCCCTCCTCCCTCACACACACACACACACATACACAACATCACACATCAGCACCACCATCCGGCCCGGGAGGACGCCGCGGACACATCCGTGAGAGACAAACATCACCCTGGACTGATCTGCGAGACTCATCGTGTTTTTCGGGGAGGAGGGTGGCCAGCACCCCCCCTCTGACTCCCGGTCCGCCCGTCTCCTCCTCACTCCACGAGGTGAGTCCTCTCGGTGTTCCCCGGTGTTATTGTCTGATGGAGGAGCTGCACCTTACCTCCCCCCTCCTCGTAATCTTTAGCACAGCGAAAATGACTCGCCGGGCTGATGCTGGTGGTGGAGTCCACCGGGCTGCACCCGTGTGCGCGGAGGAAGGCGATGGAGAGATTTAAATCCGATTAAGATTATAAAGGAAGCAACAAAAGACTGACCTTTTTCCCCCTCTCTCTTTGTTTAGCCCCGTGGTTTGACTGGCATGGCCGCGGCCGCCGATCAAACTTGCTGTGAGACCAGTGTAATGGGAACATTGATTGTTTTAAATGCGTTTGTGACGCTTTAATGAGCAGCAGACACGTCCGACGTGCGGTTGGTTACATTCACTTAAGCCTGAATTGAGGTTATCAGGGGATACACACAGATATAAGAGGCGATCACAGTCAAAAAATCTGTGGTTGTGCCACATGTACATGTAGTGATAGCGCGCATCCATGCTGCTGAATGCGCAATGAACGCTACAGATTGGACAGGAACGGGCTAGATCCTGGTGGATCAGGGGGGATGCCGGGAATGTGGCTCGTAGAACACGCAACATTATGAATGGGCGTAGGCGACGTGACACTCATCTCTCCTCCTCGTACCCTTGCGGCCAGCAGCAGCCTCCTTCCTCCGTGCCGTGCCGTGCATGACAAGCGCGACACAACTAGACCGGAACAATGCGTTTTGCTGTTCTGGGGCCTTCGGTTAACGCATGACATGATTTAATATGACCGCTGATCGCGATCCCTCGTTTAGACACGTGTGAGACTGTAGACGATCACTGTGCACACACACACATCACTGGGAGTGTTTTTAACTGCATCACAATGCTGCTGCATGTAGTTTACAGCTGATCACACTCACACACGTTTTTACTTCCATCCTAGTGAGGACACTCATTGGCATAATACATGACCTAGCCCCTTACCCTAACCTGGACCATCCAAACTAAATGCCGAACCTAAACCTTGTTCTAACCCTAAAACCAAGTCTTAACCCCCAAACAGCTCATTGAAAGAGGGTCAGAACGTGAGGACCGGCCAAAGTGTCCTCATAGTGTGTGGTCTCGGCTCAAAATGGTCCTCACAGAGATAGATAGAAGTACACACACACACACACTGTGTCTCCATGACTTACATTGACTTGCATTAACCTACGTTTAAACCCCAACCCTTAACCTAAAATAGAATGATTTACATAATGGCGACTTGCTTTTAAGGAAGACAAAACCCCATAATGTGACTGTGTAAATAGACTTAGGTCTATACCTGGAGTAATACCTGGACTACACACAGACACACACACAGAATAACACCTAATGAATGAATGAACGAATGCTGTTTCAGCCCTATGAAGTCTACAGCTGTGGATGCTCAGTGTTTTACTTTTCACTCTCGAGTGCACCGAGCGTTTGTGTGTGTGCGCTGTGCAACTGCTTCGGGCATTGTGCTATGACTCAGGGATGTATGCCACAATATGTGATGGCAGTTGCAGCTCCGAGGTCATTCTGCCAGAGGAGAGACACAACGGGCAGAACTCGCACATCAGGAAAGACTTGATGCCTGGCTGCATTAGCCTGGATCTGCTCTGCTGAATGCTGCCCTGTCCCAGATACTGCAGCCAGTCAGGCAGCCATCCTCTCCCTCTCCCTTCCTCCATGGTCTTATAGCTTCATGTCTTCAGGGCAGACCGCTGTTGCTGGGCTGGTGTTTGCATCTCCAGTCCAATGCCTCAACCAATAGATCATTACATCCAAGAATTCAATTCATTTTGTGGCACTTAAGGGCGACTGCTGATTGTTCAATATTGCCGTTCCTCACTAACGGAATTTAGGGGTCAGGGGTTTCATCGGCGAATGATAATGACAGAAAATGATTGAATGGATGGATTTATTAATGGGCACGTTGATGGATATTCAAACAGATTTGGGATAGTCTGTCTGTGTATTTGTTTCTACCAGTAGTACCTCAGCACAGGACAAAGGAGGCATGACCTCATTGATGTGACAGCGCTATAGTGATGGCACAATTGACTGGCAGTGGTGGTGTAATTTATTTTGACACTGTAATAAAAAATAAAGAGAATGAAAAGCACTAGCCTAAAAAGAATCATAGGGCTTACGTTCTGTAAGTCATCAGCCTCTTATAACTAGGTTTTCTCCTCTTCTATTCTTTGCTGTAATATGAAATATTAAAGTCTTGCTGTTGCTATATGTAAGTATTACTCCAGAGCCCAGGGGCCTTTGTTGCTGCAGACTTGCTGGCTGCACTCATATTACTTGGACTTAAAGATAAGACCTCTATTGTGCAGTATTTGAAGGATCCCTGAGTTGAAGGAAATTGGTCCAGACAACAGCAGAAGAAGAAGCGAGGCAGACAGTTTTCCAGACCTGCAACATCCATCATCCACTAACATCCAAAAACCTCCCTCAGACATCAAGATCTCTCTCTCTGTGTCTGTTTCACTGTCTCTTTCCCGAACCGTCCGAACTATTGATAGAGATCGGTAACACAATGCAGCGCACTATTAATCTTTGAAAGGACCCATTATTTAATAGCACGCAGGGGAACTCAAGCCTCACCAGGTCGCTGATAAAAGGGAAAATGAAATGAGTGGCGCACAGTGAGCCCTGTCCACCTAATGCTAATGGAATTAGCTGACAGACTGAATTAAGAACGGGACATTTGATTTTGTGTGGAAGACAGACAGGTATGACGGCAGGAAAAATAACCAGCAACAGTTGAAATCTGAGTTCTGGGTTCAGACCCTTGTTTGACCTGGTGGAGTTTGCATATTCTCCTCTTGCCTGTGTGGGTTTCCTCCCACCATTAATTGGCGACACTTAATTTGAGCATGAATTATTATTTGTCAGCTGGGATTTGCTCTTGCCCTCCCGCCGCCCTCAAAAGAAAAGAATGGACGGGGACAAGTCCACAGCATAACCACATAACACAGTGCACACGATTTAGCTGCAACAATTTGATTGGTTACACATTCAGCAGAAATTCAGTCAGCATAATCTGTGATTAATAGTTGAGTCATTTTATTTTCAAGGAAAATGCAAAATAGTTCCCAGTATTTCAAATAAGAATATTTTATTATTTGTTATCCTGAGTTTTTCTTTGACTGTAAAATTAAAATGTTTTGGAATGTCAGACAAAACAGCAAGCATTTTCTTTGTCTTGTCATTTTTGGAGCGGTGGATTCGAAGAGTTCTCACAAGGTCGTCTATTTGTGAAGAATGGCTCAGGGTGTCCTTTGCTAAAGAAAATAAGAAAGGAAGCATTGAAGCGTCTTAAGAATTTAAGAAATTCAACCGTCTCTTATCATGTGGCTGCTGCTTCGATACAACTGGGTCATTTCCCTCAATTAGGAACCGTCCCACGACGAATATCATAAAATATCTATAAATCCATATTTACAGCTGAGAGGCAAACAATTACTTCTCCAGTTATTTATCCATAAATCAGAGTAGTGGACAAAGAGGAGTTTTTATCTGTTGCAGTCAGATGAGTGATTCCATTGTATCTGATGATGTTTGTACCAAATTTCATGACAATTCACCCAACAGAGAAAAAAAGACACATTTCAAACTGTAAGTGACGAAATGTGATGAATCATGAAAGTTATTATGATTTATCTTCACGCTCAT